TGTATGTATGTAGGTATGTATGTATGTATGTATGTATGTATATGTAGTGTCGTCCTTCTATATGTATATACAGATGTAATCATATATATAGGTCTACTTCTATATATATATATATATATAAACACACATTCAGTGAGTTTATTATGTGTTTGTCAACATTATTAAGCGGGTTGGGCTCAGTAGAGTTACAAAATCTGTGCTGCATGGGTCATGGTGGATTCTGGCTGAACAACCCAATGGTTCCTAGTACATAAATAATACCTGCTGAGGTCACAATCCAAAACCGCAAACCCAAACCCCATGAAGGTTGTACCCTAAACCGTTAAACCCCAAACCCCAAACCCTAAGCCCTAAACCCTAAACCCCAAACCCTAAACCCCAAACCCTAAACCCTAAACCCTAAACCCTAAAAAATTAGACCCTAATCCCCGAACCCCAAACCCCCCATGAAGGTTGTACGGCCACACTGGTGGACGTTCTGGGGACCATGGCCCTCTTGAGCAAGGACCGAAAATTTTGGGAGTCGGAAGGCTAGCATAGAAGGGTATCGCTTTAGGGTTTTGGGGTTTATTTTGGTGTTTATTTTAGGATTTTGGGGCTTATTTTAGGGTGTATTCTAGGGTTTAGAAAGTTTAGGGTTTTAGGGTTATTGAGCAAAAATATAAGATAATGGGCTTCCAGAGCCTATTCTATTTGCTAAGGACCGTGTAGTAAAGAGTCCTAAAACTGAGCTCGAAACCAGCTAACTCCCGATAGAGCTCTGCAAGGAGCCCTTTAAAGGACCCTAGACCCTAAACCCCTAAATACCCGTAGAGCCGTAGAACACGTATGTAGAACTTTTCCTCAACAATCAGAATTTTTTGATCTCCGACAGGTCCTCACTACCTATGTAGTAGAATGTGGGGTTTGTATATCAGGACTCGTTACTTTGATTTGGGGAAATAACCCTAAACCCTAAACCCTAAACCCAATACCTAGGACCCTTTGGGCAGCCATGGCACGGCCAGGACCCAACACGCCCCGGTGTCAGCGTGGAAATGAGTCAGACCTTCATGGCGCCGGCGAAAGGAGGAGAGGCAGGTGGAGGGCTTGGCGGGCTCTTTTTCCCTAAGGCTCCAAATAGCCCCAAAAAGCCCTAATATGGTATGGTCTTTGGGCCCAAAAGCCCTAGAACATGAGTCCTCAGAGCCTTACCACCCCAACATTTGGGATCCCTAAACCACTTTCCTCAACAAACCCTTAAACCCTTAAACCCCAAACCCTAAACACTAAAACCCTAAACCCTAAACCCCGAGGTCATTACGGTGACCGGCACGGTGTTGAAGTATGGCCGTGCGCTGGGCTTCACGGAGGCGGGCTGCTGCCTCACGCGCTCGGGTTTTCCCGAAATTCCACAAGGGTTGAGGGTTTTGGGCTTTGGGTTTAGGGTTTTGGGCTTTGGGTTTAGAATTTTGGGTTTTGGGCCTTGGGTGTAGGGTTTTGGGCTTATAGGGCTTTGGGATGTTTCGGGATTAGGGTTTCCGGGTTAGGGTTTAGGGTTTTGGGGTTTATGGTTTTGGGAACCCTGACCCTAAGGGTCCATGTACTCATATAGTATATACATTGGCCTTAGTGTAGTCCCTATATAGGTACTTCAAGGCCCATGTATATGCTATATGAGTACATGGACCCTTAGGGTGAAGCCCCACCGCCCTAAGCCCTAAGCCTCACGGGTTTGGGGTCTTTGCCGCCCGAAACCCCGTGCTAACTTTGTCCTTGGAAGCCTCTAGTTCGTATATGGGTTTGGGTTTAGGGTTTGGGTTTAGGGTTTAGGGTTTAGGGTTTAGGGAATGTAGGGGCCTTAATCATTAGAATAGGCTTTGGGGGTTCCTTTAAAGGTTTCCTTAAAATGTTCCATAAGGGCTACTATAAGGATGGGTTTAGGGGCCTTAATAGTTAGAATAGGCTGCTGGGCTCTCCTTATGACAAGTATACTAGAATATACCCCCAAACCCTATTCTAATTATTAAGGCCCCTAAATAAGGGCTCGAAATACTTAGTATTACCTTTCGTCGTTTCTACGGCCCTACTTTAACGGGCTCGGAACGTTTAGCATTACTTTTCGTCGTTTCTACAGCTATACCTTAGCATCATATCCCCAGCATTATTCTGAATATGTTGGTCGCTATACTAGGTTTCATAACACCAAAAAGTCAGCCTCGTTTCTCAGAACGTTCAAGCAGCCACATGTGTAAAGACGTAGGTCTGGAGACCCCTGATTAACGAACCCTTCCTTGCCCTTACGAGCTTTAATCTTAGGATCCCTCCTAAAAGCCTTTTGCAAGCGAGCCAAAAACAACCTAAACCCAAAACCCTAAACCGTGTAGGATCCTTCCCCTAAACCCTAAACCCTAAACCCTAAACCCTAAACCCTAAACCCAAAACCCTAAACCGTGTAGGATCCTTCCCCTGGTGAAGGACCCGGGCCCCAACGGAGTCCAGGAGCTCTAAGGCGTACTGTATAATTAGGGTTTAGGGTTTAGGGTTTAGGGTTTAGGGTTTAGGGTTTAGGGTTTCTGTAGCAACCCCAACAAGTTGGAAACCGGATTGAGGACAAATAGTGCTGGGATTCCCTATACATTACTCTCAAGGATTCTGGCTATTGCCTTTGGGCTTCTACGTATAACCTTAAACCCCACACCCTAAACCCTAAACTCCAAACCCTAAACCCTAAACCCTAAGCATTAAACCCCAAACCCTAAACCCTAAACCTCAAACCCCAAACCCTAAACCCTAAACTACCCTAAACCCTATATAAGTATTCTAAAGCTCGGTACCCAGACCCCCAAAAGGATCTAAAAAATAGATCCCCTAATTAGGGACCCTAGCTACGAAAGGGTACTTTATAGGAACCCCCTTAGGGGATCTATACCCTAAACCCTAAACCCTATACCCTAAACCCTAAACCCTATACCCTAAACCCTAAACCCTAAACCCTAAACCCTAAACCCTATTTTTAGATCCTTCTGGGGGTCTTGGTAGAAGCTCCTGTGAGGTGAAGCTCCTCGATGCGAGTGGGAAGCTCCTGGCGACGGGACGGCACACGAAAGCTTTCCCGCAGAAGTCCTAAAGCCAAGCCTTAAGAACCCAAAACCTTCTTTTTTGTAGGGCCCCTATAAATCCCATATTAGGGTTTGTAATAAGAACCTACAAAATAGTGGGTTTTGGGTTCTTAAGGAAAGCCATAAACTGTTTAGGGTTCAATGTTTAGGGTTTAGGGTTCTTTGCGGTGTAATGTTTAGGGTTTAGGGTTGCTTGGGGTTTAATGTTTAGGGTTTAGGGTATAGGATTTAGGATAACATTCCGCCATCAACACTGATTCCAAGACCCTTCTAAATCGAAAACCTCACCCTAACCGCTAGAAAGCCCTCACAAGCCCCGCGAGCTCTATAGACTTCCTAGAAGCCATACACTAAGGGTCCATGTGCCCAAATAGTATATACTTTGGCCCTGAAGTACCTATATAGGGACTACATTGAGGCCCAAGTATATACTATTTGGGTACATGGACCCTTAGGGATACAGCCTGTGTACGAGCTCTGTCAACACTTGCAGGGCCGAGAATTCCTCATTGATGTGCGCCTCCATGACCAGAAAACTATAGCCCTAAACCCAACCCTCTCCTTGGGGACCAAATGACCCTTACAAGTAAGGGGACCTATACCCTTATACTATGAGGCCCTTTATTTTATATGAACCTGAAACCCTTTTAGGAATCATTTCGTGCTTAAGGCTCCAACTCTCAAGCCCGGACACTTAACCCTTGACCCCAGAAATTGGGAACCCGAGCAGCGCTCATTGCTTCGACAGTTCCTGCGACGGACAAAAAGCGAGCGGGGAATTGCGCTTTACGGAGCTTTCGGCTAGGTTACTAGCCATACCCATAGTCTCCTCCGTATAGTTCCTGTTTGGGGTTTCCTATTTTAGGATCTTTAATATAGATCTGGTTAAACCAAACAGAGGAACTGCAATGGAGACTATAGGTAGAATTCGAAACCGAAGGTAAGCAACAAGCTGTTTGAAGGTACCTTTAAGGTTTAGGGTTTAGGGTGTAGGTTTTCTATACGGGTTCTTTCAATAGGAACGATTGGGGAGGAGGGTTTACTTGGAGGCTTAGCAAACTTCGTGAGTAGGTTGGAGCTCCGTGGAAGTGTAATTAGGATACTTCCGCTTAAGGTGATATAGGGGCCTAGACAATTGCCTATTCTTCTGTAGTGTTCCGATTATACTGGAAAACCCACTATATCCCAAAACCCTGTTCTCATTGTTGCCGCCTCTATTGTACTTGGTGGAACCAGTGGGACCGGACAAATCGGCATCAAACCACCAAACGAGCCTTTGCATCGTAGAACCCCATGAAAGCCCCATAAGGCCACAATCCTAAACCCTAAATCTTGGTATCCTAACCCCAACAGTTTGACGATCCACTTAAACCCTAAACCCTAAACCCTAAAACCCTGAAACCCTAAACCCTTCTTCAAAATCCAGTCTCTCGAACACTCAAAAACCCGGACGGGCCTCATGGAAAGCCCCAAAACGGAGCCCCGAAGGAACCTTGACAGGAACCCCTTAAAGTAATATAGGGGCCGAAATAATGATCAAGACTATTTTTTGGGGTCCTTAGTATGATTGGAATCACAAACCCCAAAATCTTGTTCTAATTACTATGCCCCCCCAAACCCTAAACCCTAAACCCTATTCTAATTATTGAGGTCCCTGAAGTAACCCTTAAGGCCCCTGATGCCATGAGCTCGCATCTGCGCCGTGATTTGGGGTATGGGGTTTCGGGGTTTAGGGGTTTAGGGATTTTGGGTTTCGGGTTTGGGGTTTTGGGTTCCGGGTTTAGGGTTAGGGGTTTTGGTTTTAGGGTTTTGGGTTTAGGGTTTTGGGTTTAGGGGTTTTGGGTTTGGGGTTTGGGGTTTTGGGTTAGGGGTTTTGGTTTTAGGGTTCCACTTGGGAAGGTGGTGAGCCACCAGCGTGAAGAGCTGATGTTCCAGATGCTCACGGTCAGCTGTTGCAAGATTTGGGCGGTTGATTTCAGGGCTCCTGTACTTAGAAAGCACAATACCCCATAGTCAAGGAGTAGCATAATGCCTCCCGGAAGCTTAAGGTATATCCCTAAACCCTTAACCCTAAACCCTATATTTTCCTAATTATGGTGTGCGAAGCTCTCTGGTTTGGGCTGGCTTCCTGCAGGGCGAAGCACCTCAGAGTTTTTGAGGGCCGACGGATGTGGTTGGTCTTTGTTCGGAGTTTGGGTGTCCTTTTAGGTTCCTTCTGCTTTGGGTTGTGGGGTTTAGGGGTCTAGGGGTCTATAGGGTTTAGGGTTTAGCGGTTTAGGGGTTTAGGGGTTCAGGCGGTTTCAACGGTTTCAAGCGTTTCAAGGGTTTCAAGGGTTTCAAGGGTTTAGGGATTTCAGGATTCCTGTAGGGATGTCTTGAAAGTCGCGTTTATAGACCAAGGCTTTGATCAGGACTTTGGGCTTTTGGAGCTTTTAGGGCTTTTGAATGGTCCTTGGGGACCAAATGACCCTCGTAAGTAGGGGCCCTCTACCCTTACATTTTGTATCCCTGTAAAGTGTATGAACCTGAAACCCTTTAAGGGTTCATTTCGTCCTTAAAGATTTGGGCTTTCACCAAGAAGTAGGAATTTGGCGTTTAGGCGTCTTATGATATTGTTTTACTTCAAAGTTTCAATTGTGAGTCATTGCAGTCCTTTGCTTATTTGGGAAGTAGGGCGGGAGTTTTGGGACCTTAAGAGGGTGTTGCAGGGTGTTTAGGGCATCAACTTGTAACGTGGGGTCCGCGGTTTAGGGTGGGATCCCATTGCTTGGAACTTGGGTTGAGGGTTCAGATTGTCACAGACAGTAGATTGTCTGACGTGGGAGCCCAGCACGAAAGTGACTGGTAAGGCTAGGCTGCGGACGAAGCACTCACAGGCTTAGATTCTAGTCTTGAGACCCCCACCCCCAAAAAAGTCGGACTTTCCACCATGTTTGCATCCTGACAGTAACTATATAGTCGAGCCGACAACAGAGAACACCGATAGCAAGCGTGCTCACTAGTATTGAGGCCCAGGTATGAGTGATACTATTTCTTTAGCTTCCTATTATAGATAGTCATAGTATAGACGCCCAAACCCAGTTCCATTGTTGAGACCCCTTTGTTAAGAATATCATGCATCTTCTAGTAACCCTAAGGGCCCACGTGCCTAACAATCATGGACTTCCCCAAATCAAGACTAATCTGCAAAAACCCAGGTTCTGAGCCATTAAACCCCATCAAACGCAACCTCCAGCCTGAAAGTGCCCGCTAAGCTCCGTTTAAGCTCATCCCCGACCCCAATAAAACTTGCATACTTCAAGACAAAATAAATGCAAGGACATCATCATTTCAAGCCCAGCAGATACAGTAGGTTCCGAAGGGTTCAGGATGGGTCAAAAGAAGCTTCGAACAGCTGAGAGGTTCATAACAACGGCCCTGTGACCTACACCGCCCTAAACCCTCAACCCACTAACCCTGAACCCTAACTAAACCGCAGAACCCTAAAACCCTAAAGCCCTCTAAAGCTTGAAGCCTCTCCCTAAAGCCCTAAAGCCCTACAGCTTGAATTGAAGCCTCTTGAAGCCAGGTACCCGACAGCAAGGTGAAAATAGCAGCCGGCAGCCTCAGCAAGCATTCGGAGAACCCCAGATTCGAATTCAGGGACTTAGGTTTAGGGTTAGGGTTTTAGGGTTTGGGGTTTAGGGTTTTAGGGTTTAGGGTTTGGGGTTTAGGGTTTAGGGTTTAGTTCTCCAAAACCCAGCCTTTAAACTTTTTGGGTTCTTATAGTTTAGTAGCAACCTGAAAGTTGAACCTTTTATTTCCCTGGCTTGTTGCAGAAGTAAGGGGACAGGGCCTGGGGCTTCGGGGTTTTTGGATTCTTAGGGCTTACAGGGAGGTTTAGGGTTTAGGTTTTCGGATTCAGGGATAAGGTGTTCGGGCTGAGCTTAAGGCGTAGAGCTCAGGGTTTAGAGGCAGGGTAGTGGGGTTGGGAGCTTTATTCTTGACTGTTTCTATTTCAGGGCGTTCTTTTCAAGGACGAAGCAGGAAAAGGGCCTGCATGTAGCATCCTAAACCCAGAACCTAATAGCCTGAACCCCCGAAATCTAGAAACCCCAAAACCTGCCTTGAGACGGCCCCGTGCCCTATGTTATTCCTATTTTGCAAAGGCCCGTACAGTATCATAAGATAAAACATTACAGCACACCTCAAAAACGCAGCGCAACTCCAGAACATCAAATCCTTACTGCATTCAAAACCCTAAACCCCACAAGATCCCTCTACCGAAAACCCCTAAAATACCCAGTAACCTGGAACTCGTGGGTTTCCACATGTCAAGGAAAACCCTAAACCCTAAACCCTAAACCCTTACCCCTAACCCTAGCAAACCCCTAGGTCGTCCTGAAAAGGAGCTTTGTCAGATCCTGCGGGGCTTCCTCTCGAAACCCTAAATCCTTAAACCCTAAACCCTAAACTGAAACCTGAAGCCCCAAACCCCTGCGCCCTAAACCCCTAAACCCCAAACCCTAAACAAAAGCCCTAAGCCCTAAACCCCGAAGCCCTAAAATCCTAAACCCCTTAAGCCCCAAACAAAAACCCCAAGCCCTAAACCCCGAAGCCCTAAACTCCTAAACCCCTTAAACCCCAAACTAAAGCCCTAAGCCCCTAAACCCCTCAGCCCGTAAGCCCTAATCAAAAGCCCTAAGCCCTACAGAAGATCCCTGAATTCTCAGCCCGTAAGCCCTAAACTAAAGCCCTAAGCCCTAAACCCTAAACCCTAAACCCTAAACCCTAAACCCTAAACCACAGAAGATCCCTGGGTTCTTTGAGGCTTTGGAGTGCGTCGGCACTGCCAACGTGGCCGACACATCCACCTCCGAGGCCACCCCCCCGCGGGGAATTGGGCTTACGGTTCGGTTTAGGGTGCAGGGTGTAGGGTTTAGGGTTTAGGGTTTAGGGTTTAGGGTCTAGGGTTTAGGGTTTAGGGTTTAGGGTTTAGGGTTTAGGGTTAGAATTCGAACAGAAAAAACCCACCAACAACCTGATTCTTATAGTTTTGGGCTTTCGGGGTTGAGGTCGATTAGGTCTTAAGGCTTTTGGGGGTTGGGGTGGAGGGAACAGGGCTTATTGGGTTTGGGGTTTAGGGTCTAGGGTTCAGGGCTTAGTGTGTTTGGGCTTTAGGGTTTGGGGCTTAGGGTTCAGGGCTTATTGGGTTTGGGCTTTAGGGTTTATTGGGTGCCCAAAAAGGTTGATAAGGGTTCCTCTCAGCTTTCCGACTTCCTCTATGGAGTCGACGTCATTGTCTGTTGTGAGCCGTGGTGAGGCAACAGATATTTTGTTTCGTTGACTGTCGGTTCTATTTCTTGCGGAAAGGATCATCTTGATGTTTTTGATTCCTCAAACTTTCCGCCGTTTACTCGCTGTTTTTTTGTTCTATGGTATCCCAATACTAAGATACTTAGGTTTCGGATAGTAGCTATGTAGGTTACTATTTGGGAAAGTATATGATTATTGGGTACTTGGACCCTTGGGGTAACCGGCGGGGGTCGTTCAACAGGTCCTGTATGTAAATGACATGGATCTTTTTGGTGACGGGTATGTGGAGCAACTACCATAATACAAGCCCTCAGCCAAGCATTAAGCAGGACGGTTAATTTACACATGGTGGTTTGCACTCACTGCTGCTACGGGTTGCTCTGGGGAGACTTGAATCAAGAGCCTGATGTAGTGGCCTAAATGATTCCCAATTCTAGTTTGGTGGTTCCTTGTTACACTTCTAGTACAATATACCCCAAGGCCCTATTTTAATTATCAAGGCCCCTAATTATACTACAACCCTGAACGCTGAAAGCCCGAAACCCCAAACCCTAAGCCTTATAAGCCCTAAACTCCCTAAACCCCAAGCCCGAAACACTAAACTCCTGAACCCTACACCCTAAACTCAATAAGCCCCAAACCCCAAACCCTAAACCCTAAGCTCCCTAATTCCTAAACCCTAGACCTTAAACTCCCTAAACCCCAAATGCCAAACCCGAAACCCTAAACTCCCTAAACCCTAAATCCTGCACCCGAAACTCCCTGAACCCTAAATCCTACACCCGAAACTCCCTAAACCCTAAACCCCAAACCCTAAACCCTAAACCCCCTAAGCCCATAACCTGAAAGCCCGAAACTGCAGCCGGATGCCAGGTGGGTAGTCATCGTCACTTTTAGGGTCCTTTCATCAGGGTCCCGTACTCTGTCGGGTTTGGGGTTTAGCGTTTTATCCCTTTGCATCCAAATAGCCCAAAAACCTTAATAGGGTCTGTGGGCCCAACAGCCCTAAAATATGAGTGCGTTGGGACCTAAAAGGGGAACTTAAGTTAGAAAGCTATCCAGGTGGAGACGCTGATTGGTTTCCTCGACGTCAAGGGCGAGGACGGCTGAAGATGAGCTGGCACTGTGAGCTATGATGTAAGGCTTCCTGTATCGCACAGTATCATTATCATAGTTTTATAACTGTGATTACGAAGTATTCCGTTACCAAATCTAGGTTAGACGAACATGACTGCCGATTGGCAAGCTCGCACTGTGGCATCTCGCTCTCTCTGTCTTTCTGTTGTTCCGTCTCTCTCCTGTCTGACTTTCTCTCTCTCTCTCTCGCTCTGCCTCTCCGTATCTCTCTCTGTGTTTCTCTCTCTCTCTCTCTGTCTGTCTCTCTCTCTCTCTCTCTCTCCCTCTCTCTCTCTCTCTCTCCCTCTCTCTCTCCATCTATGATCTGTCTATAACTACGTTGATCTATCTATAACTATGTTTTAACTTTAGTGATTGATATTATTCTTCATTTATCAAGTTAGTGCGTTCATTGTTCCTTTAGTCAGGTATTGTTTTATTCATGTCGTTCTTTGTTTCGCTATTCATTTAGTTGTAATTTGTTTCTGTATTTATTTCTTGGATGTTCTTGTTGTATTTATTTATTTCGTTCTTTATTTATGCATTTATTTCGTGGTTTTCTGCTTTATGACGTTCTTTATTTATGTAGCATGTATTTTTCGTTGCGACTTTTGTTAATTAGTTGTCTCTCACTCTCTCTCTCCCTCTCTCTCTCTCCTTCTCCGGTGTCGAGGAGCTGCAAAGCTCTTTCACATACCTGCAGAAGGCACGGATGGTCTTTCACGGGGCTACTTGCAGGATCATGGCTACTTGCAAGCATGATTGTATTGCTAAGCAACCTTCAATACCTCTGATTGCTACATGGCGCTAATTGTGGCACCCATGTTCACAACGTCGGGCCCGATTTGTAGCTAGGAGCCTCACACCCAAAAGGTGCTGGGTACTGCTATGGATGATACTTTCCCAAATCATACTAATGATTCCTATTATATACACACTACATCCTACTCTATAGATGCTATAGGTACTTAGGACCCTTCGGGGCCGTGGGTTTGAAGGGAAGGATCTTCTTGGCTCAATCATGAACTAGGTTGTGGGGTGGTACTGCCCTTTTTTGAGGGTCTCCCTGTTCGAACCGAACAGTGAGGGAAAGCGTTTACTTGTACAGGGAACCTTCTACGGAACGACTGAACTCCTTGTAGAAATCCCGACCCCATAAACCCGAAACCCCTAAAGTTGCCCTATGTTCCGGTTAATGGAAACCCGCATAGAGCCTTGAAAGCTACCTTCACCGATGCCCTTGCAGAGAGCCTTTAAGTACAGAACCCGAAAAAACAAATGACCTCCTTTAGGATTCGGATTTAGGGTTTACGTAGGTAAGTAAGAAAAAAGCCGTCCTGCAGAGCCCTTATGCAACCGTTCAAGGATCCTTATCAAGCACCTGAAGATGCCCAAAGTAAGAGAGCAAGCCGCCCAGATCCTCTATCCTGAATCCCATACCCTCGACGAAAGAAGCCGCCCAGATCCTAAACCCGAATTCCCAATCCTAGACCCTTATATAGCCACCTTGAATTCTAAACCCTAAACCCTAGACCCTAAACCCTAAACCCTAAACCCTAGGCCCAAACCAAGCCGGCCCAGACCCCAAACCCTAAAAGCCTGAACGCTATAAAACGTAGGCCCAAAACCATCCGAAACTCCTGAAAGCCAAAACCCTGAAACCATCTAACCAGGGTTGGTTTAGGGTTTAGGGTTTAGGGTTTAGGGTTTAGGGCCTAAACCTTAAACCCTAAACCCTAAACCCTAAAGCCCTAAACCCTAAACCACCTTGAACCCTAAACTCCTGAGAGCCCAAACCCTAAAACTCTAAACCCTAAACCACCTTAAACCCTAGGCCCTAAACTCAACCCTAAATCCTAAACCACTATAAACCCTATGCCACTATAAACCCTGAACTCGACCCTAAACCCTAAGCCACTATAAACCCTAAGCCACTATAAACCCTGAACCACCTTAAACCCTAAAACCCCCAATCCTAACTCACTATAAGCCCTAAACCACTATAAATTCTAGACTCAACCTTAAACCCTAAACTCCTGAAAGCCCAAACCGCCTTCTAGACTCAACCCTAAACCCTAAACTCCTGAACCCTAAACCCTAAACCCTAAACCCTAAACCCTAAACCCTAAACCCTAAACCCTCAACTCCTGAAAGCCCAAACCGCCCAGATCGTCGTCCAGCTCCTAAAGATGCTCTCGGCGAAAAGCGGCCAGGGAGCCGTGCCGCCGCCTTAGAACAAAAGGTGGCCTTCATATTGGGGTTTTGGGGTTTAGGGTTTAGGGTTTAGGGTTTTGGGGTTTTGGGGTTTAGGGTTCAGGGTTTAGGGTTTATGTTTTACGGTTTAGGGTTTAGGAGGGGCCTTCCACCCTTCTATAATTAGAATAGGGTTTAGGGTTTAGGGTTTATGGGTCAGGGTTTAGGAGGGGCCTTCTGTTATAATTAGAATAGGCTTTAGGGCTTAGGGTTTAGGAGGTGCCTTCTATTATAATAAGAATAGGGTTTAGGGATGAGGGATTAGGGTTTAGGGTTTAGGAGGGGCCGTCTATTATGACTAGAATAGGGTTTCTATAGGCCTCCCTTAACGGGTTCTATTTGAGGCTACTTTACGGGTTTAGGGTAGAGAGGCCTTAATAATTAGAATGGGGTTTCATAGGCTTCATTTAAAGGGTTCTATTTGGGGCTACTATAAGGGTTTAGGGTATAGGGGCCCTAATTAAGAATAGGGTTTTGGGCTCCTTTTTAGTAGTAAGGAACCCTAAGGAATAATTTTGGTAATTATTCCGGCTTCTACATTGGTCCTGAAGGGGGACTCCTTTCTCTAAGGATCCTGGCATTACTATGAGGGTCCTGTGAAGGGTTCCTGTCAGGGTACTTTAAGGCTTCCTTTAAGGGTACGATGAGGGTGTAAGGCTTGGGATACTAGGTACCTACATGGTAAAAAGTAGGCTTTCTATACTAGCCCTTAACCCTAAACCCTAAACCCTACTATAGGAATTATTGTTATATTATTGTTATTCTGGTTTCGGCAGGTCTCACCCATGCAGGTACTTCGGACCCTTTGGGTTCGAAGGGTTCTAGAAGGGTTCCTTTGCCTGTACAGGGTTTAGGGTTTAAGGTGTACAGGGTTCCATATGGGCTGGGTTTAAGGGTCTAGAAAAATTGGGCTGCTTGCCAGGATTCCCTTAAAAGGGGGGTTACGTGAGGGGCTTTGTATGGTTGGTGTCCACGAGCTTTGGGTTAGGGTTTAGGGAGCTTGTTCCTGTAAAGTCTTCCTTTCAATGCGCAACAAGCAAATAGTGAGAGGGTATAGGGTTTAGGAGCCCGGTGGGGACTCTAAACCTCAGACCCTAACCCCCAAACCCAACAAAAGGCGTCCACTCAAGTGCATAGCAATGAAGACTTGGCCGAGGAGTGCCACGAGTGGAACCGGTCGACCTTCAGATGAGCTAACCTTAGCCTTACACCCTAAACCCTAAACCCTCAATCCTAAACCCCAACAACGCCCGAACCCCGCACCGTTTTTCCCGAAATGTTTGCTGCGATGACGGCCTATTCGTAAGCTCGCTTGATGATTCAAGCTTCTGGGTTATATGCGTGGACTAAACCCTAAGGGTCCAATTAGCAGACAATCATGTACTCTCCCAAATCCTAACCTACAAAACTACTCCCCTAAACCCAAGTACCTATCATTAGGTCCTTTGAATCCTAGACCCTAAACCTAAACCCCTAAACCCAAAGCACCCAAATTCATAAGGACGTGACTAGGCCGCCTGTTTCGGGTTGTGGGGTGGGCGGTGAGTACTCAATAAGCAACCTATGGCATATGGGTACCATAAGGGTTGGAGGGTAACATAAACCTAAAGCTTTAAGGACCCATATTCGCAGGCTTCTGGGCCCAAAGACCATACTATATAGGGCGTTTGTGCTATTTTGAGCCTTAGGGTAAAGCAGTATAGTATATATTGTTTGCAATATGAAATACAAACAAACATTCAGGGCTTATGAGGTTGAAGC